CTGCACTTTCGACGAGGCTACCGCCGATCTTACCTGCGTCTAAGCGACAGTACTTTGGGAGGGGGAGGTTGATCGGGGAATCAGGAGATGGAGAATTGGAGGCGAAGTTTTGAAAAGGTTGAATGTGGAGCATGAACATGGTCGTTGATGTGATCGACGCATACAAAGCAACGTTCTCTTCTGTGTCCAATAGTAAATTAGGTCTTTGTGCTCCCACACTCTCTTCCTCATGCACGTGTTCATTCAAGAGCATACTCCCGGCCAAAGAAGCAGCTATTGCGACACTCCATATCTCCCGTAAGGCATTCCTAGTCCATGACATACTTTCCAAATGCTTTTGTAGGTACCTTTCGTTCAAACATGAGATCCAACTCTTCGTAAGTTCGGCCTTTCATCTCAGGAACACGGAAATAACACCACACCAGACACGGGATGCTGAGCCCACCGAAGAAGAACCCAAGCTTGCCACCCAGATCGGCTGCGTCTGGGTTGATCAAGTACGGAATCGCGACAGTCATGATGATGCCGACAAGAGCCTGAGCAGCGGTTGCAACGGCGACAGTCTTCGAGCGTACCCTTGTCGCGCTGACTTCGCAGAAGATGGCAAAAGCCACGGGTCCGACGCTCCAGTTGTACACAGAATTCCACACCAAGAGCCTGCAAAGTTAGCATGAGATCCAACGTCAGAGTAACGCACACTCACAATGAAGACTTCGCCCACGTCGCTCCTGTCGTAGGTACGAGGTCAAGTATACCCACAAGAAACATGAGGACCGTCAAAATTGTGAGGCCAACGCCGAACAGCGTTCTTCTCCCGAACTTCTGCATCAAGTACCATGACAAAAGCACACTGACCCAACCGATCGCCATGAAACCAATGCCCATGTTGAACGCTTGCGCGGTCTCAAGACCAGCGAGGGTGAAGAAGTACGTTCCGTAGTTAATGAGATACACACCACATAGAACCTGGGTAGAATACACCCCGATCGCAATCTCCGTTCGGCGCCAATTGACCTTCTTGAAGACGTCGGCATAGGTACTACCCGCTTCCATATCATTCTCCAGTCTATCCGTTTCCATGATCTGTGCGAGCACAGCCTTGACGTTGACCTTGGCGCTCGTGAGCCGGCGAAGAGACTTCTCGGCGTCTTCGAGCCGATTCTGACGCACCAGCCACCATGGACTTTCCGGAGCAAAGAACATTCCCGGGAGGATCACCAAGACCCAGAACCATTGCGTGGCGAACGGAATCGAATACGCCCAGTGGGACTGAAGATGCTGGGTTGCAGCCGCAACTCCGTTTCCAAGCAACTGGCCGGTGACGAAGCAAAGATTGACGTAAGAGGTCGAGACACTGCGCATGGCCAAGGGTGATACTTCCGATGCGTAGACAGGTGCGATGACAACAAAAGTGCCCAGCACCAGCCCAGCAAGAAGCTCTCCAGCAAGAAGAACTTGAAGCGAGCGAGCGAAGAATTGGATAAACACCAGGCCCGCGACAGCGATGACGCATGCATTGAACGTCCTCTTGCGCCCGTACCATTCCAATGGGTAACCCGCGGCCAACGCGCCGACGACTTGGCCGATCGGGTTGCCCATCCCGAGTCCCGTCTGCCATGCAGCGGAGATGATGTACCCGTCCCCGAAAGCATAGCCGAAATCTTTTTGGAAAGCAGGTACTGCGTACAAGTTGCCGAGAAGCTGGGGATCGAATGCTGCACGCTTGTTAGTCACATTTCAGACGTTGGTGGACTTCCTCGTACATAGCATGATCACACCCAGGCTGAAGTAGAACGACCATCCTATTGCCTTGGGATAGAGTGACAGGGCCTCCCGAAATGTGAGCGCATGCTCGAGTTCGACGACTTCGCGGACTTCTTCTGCGGCGATCGAAAGCTTCGGTGCCATGGTCGCGCTCGGTTCGTCTAGGCTTTTCGTCGCGGTGGCCATGTTTGGCATTGAGGTGTTTGCACCGAGTTCAACCAACAATGTGAACGCACAAGATGCAGAAGCTTGTGAAGCCAAGCGCGTTGCTGAGCTTATATCAACATCCCTCCAGGTCCCTGCGCTGATACGCGCTTATCAGTAACACGGGGTTCTGCTGCCGATGCGGGGTTGCGTACGGGAAACGGTCCGCTTCTGGCTCGAGCTACGACGCGATCCTACGCTGCGCATCCTCTTTGTGGTTTGGACGTGAGCCGAAGTCACATTTCGTGGAATGATAGCCAGGATGAGCCGCGGTGAGGAGGTGGCCTGGCTGTCGATTGTTAGCTGGGAAGGCCAGTCGGACGCGGTCGCTATCGCCCTCGCTATCGCGCCAACGCTGATGGGATACGATCTTATCATCGAAGCGCTGCGATAGCGCAACCTATCTCCAGCGACTACATCGTCCCCCAGCCGCCCTACACGAGCCTGCGCGATGTGGTGTGAGATGTGAAGATGCCGGAATGCGTGGAGGAACGAGGAAGTGGCGTGGAAGCGGACAGCGATTGTGAGCGCGAGGAAGCGCGAAGAAGACGCGCAGTAGGATGTATGGAATGCGTGGTTCGCTGCGCAGATAGGCAGAAGCGTCCGAGTGCGTGATGGTTCGGAGGGACTGGTGCTGGACCCTGGCGGCGCTTCGCAGCACCGTTGGCGGGGCGCGATCTGCGGCGCGTACTGCAGCGTCCTGAACGACGCACCTCCTTCAGTCCTTCAGCTCTCAGCCTGCAGCTCAGCCTTCAGCCTTTCCGCCAGCCCAGAGATACGACCGTCGCCCACAATGGACACCGACTGTAAACCACTTCAACGGTGACCCGTCCCCGGACACTCTGCAACCCGACTACACGCCCCACTGCAAAACCACATCATCGCGCAGCGCCTCGCAGTCCAGCACGGCAGCTAGCCCAGCCCGCACGACACCACCGGCCTCTGCCCGCTGTCGCTCGGCGGCGGCGGCGGCGTGCGCGACTTGTCGACGCGGTACATCCTGAAAGGCCTGATGACTCGACTGAACGGCCAACGCCGCAATGCTGCTGGTCTTCCCAACGCGAAGGCGCGCGAGGTATTCGATCATGTCGGCGGCATGAGCAAAGGCGCGTAGATGGATAAGTGCAAGGCTAATTGCTATCATGCTCTGCCGGGTAGAGATAGACGTAGACAAAAGCATCGCATTATACAGCAATCTAGTAGAGGCTGTGTTCGAAAATAGGCCTAACTAATATGAGGCCGGCTGTAAGGCCTAACCAATATGAGGCCGGGTGTGAGGCCTAACATTTGCTTAAAGTAGCTTAGCGCTAACGTACTTCACAAGCATGTAGACCACCCAAGCATGTAGACCACTTTTGCCAAGACCCCACCAAATCTGTACTTTCATCGCGATGCCTTAACGTAACAACGTGCAAAAGCCCTTTAAGGAGAACCAAATAACGTAGGTGCATGCTTCGCGGATTAGCAGGCTTCGCGAAACACTTGTGCTAAGACTCTGTCACGGTAACCACCGTGGTTCCCCTGACACCTGAACGCGCAGATTTCGGGTAGCTCGCCAGATCACCTAAAATCTGTTAATTAGCTAGCTAAGGCCTAAGCGCCGCGCACAGCCCTAGCTATATCTTCTTACTACTTCTGCATTCTGCTTTGTTTCTTACGCAACGTCTTATATTACACTAGATATTGTACGTAGCTATAATTAACGCTTCTAGTAAGCTATTAAACACGTGCTCGTAGTGTCTTGTAATAAATGCAGAGAATAGCGCTGCGCCCCTAAAGCTTCTAAGAACTAATAGCGTATGTAAATCTACGCTAACTTTGTATAAGTGTAAGAGGCTAAAGTCTAGTTAGCGAATTCTTAATAATATCTCGGTTACGTGTATAAGCGCACGGTTTGCGGTTAACGCGTCTAAACAACGCTTAGACTAAACTTCTAAACCTTAGACTAAAAGATAATCTAAGCTGCTACTAATTAACCTTTAGGACGAGGTAGCCTACAGTTCTCTTCTCTATTAAATACAACTTTAGTATACCTGTGCAGTAGCTCCCTAAGCGTAGCCTCTTACAATAAGGGCTTTTAAATAGTAGTTAAGATTACAATTCAGGTTACTATGATTTACCGACGCAAGCTGGGGATCAAAGTTCTATCCCCGCATCAGCGTTTAATGATCTTCCTGGAACCCGCTCTTGTCTGGGGTTGAAAGTCACAGGATGGTGGGTAGGTTGTCCGGTCAGACCGGTCCACGCTTTAGTCAAACCAAATGGCGATGTTGCGGGGGAGGGGCCGAGGGCGTCGAGGATCTCCAAGGTGCTAAGCATGCGGCGGGGTAACGCATCCAATACCGGGGCCCCGACAGGACGGGCAGAACCCGCGAGGAAGGGAGTACTCCGAGCCCGAATCAAGCCAGTAACTAATCATGTAAGTAGTCATAAGGGCAAGCACACGCTTGCAGGAATAAGCGACTGAATATGTCTGCAAAACAGAGTGAGAGCGTTGCAAGCAGATGATTGTGTGGCGGATTGCCAGACTCTGTTTGAGAAAGGGCTCTTTCTTTCTACCTAGGTCTACTATAGATCAGTACAAAAACGACCTTGATATGTCTCTTGACTTATATTCGTGCTGGGAATGAAACTGACTAGCCTAATAGAATACTGACACAAAGTTCTCAAGTACTGGCGCAATAATCAAATCTAGATCATAGCGGGCGGGAACCTAGACCAAGGCGAAGAATATCATGCAGAAAGCTTATAACAACTCACTACCGAGTTGTTATATGCCACGATAGCTTCACCTATGACCAGCACTTAGTGACAGTATTGTCATATGCTATACCACGTGGTGTTTCATTCATTACTCGCATAACTTGCTTATATAAAAGCCCACTCTTTTCGCATCTATACTTTCATAGAGTGAAGCTTTTCTGGATATTATTTACATATGCCCTGTTGCGTGCTCTGACTCATGACATTGTAACACCCAGCCTAAGCCTTCTCAGCTATATTACCTTGTTTACCGCTCCTCCACAGGTTCACTAAGAATTGAGACTCATGGATTCTCCAGCATCAAAGATCAAACCCCCAGGCCAGAGACTAATCTCGAGCTCGACAACTTGGTCGCGGCGTAATGGCTGTGTTGCTGTATGAGGATGGTACACGTACGCGGGTCCCATCAGTTCCTTGTATTCGTCTGGGCCAAGGTCCGTAAGCGACTCATAGGTGATGGCGCGATGCGATGCACGAAGACGGCCGTTGGGTCCGATGTAGCGCCTGTACATAATTTGTTACTGCCAGAGGACATTGATGAACTGAAGTACGATTGAAACTTACCAGACGTTATGGTTCGGAATATCGTCCACTGTTGTGCCCGTTGGGAGGTCTTCCATGGGAATGTTCTGATGCCACAGCTCTTTGCCGTTCTTGTCGAGCTTGCGTAGCACGACGTAGACGTCCTGCGACAGTTAGTTTAGAATTGAATATTATGGTGTACGCACACATGAACCCCCTGAAGGGAAACTAAGTTCATGTGGGCATATATATACTGGAGGAAAAGGACTTACCATATCGTCATCATCAGGTGTTGACATGTATACTTTGGCCTTTGAGATACCACACAGCTCGGTGTACTCCTCGAAGGTGTGGACGAACCAGCATCCGTTGTCAGAAGGCGAATCCGCTTGGTACCCAACCAGGCCCTCCTTGGACGGTTTATGAGGCCCCAGAGATCCCGTCGTCGCATCGAGGAACAACGTTTCGTACTTGAACTTGGCTGGAGGATACTGATCACTTGGCACGTTGATGATGGTGGGACGGTTGTAGCCCAGGAGTGAGTATCGAACCCGAGGCGTGGATTCCCAGCCGTTATCCTTGTCGAGCATGTACTTGTCAATGAATCGCTGCAGGTCGTCGTTGTTCTCTGGTTTGTATATGTCGTGCCACTCCCTGGGTGTAGCACCAGCGCAACCATTTCTCAGATGACCGAGAGAGCATGAATCCCCTCAGTGATCCTTCGGTATGTAGCCTGGTTGAGAAGCTGGCGGTAGCATACATTGGAACAACGATGTTGCGGAGCTTCGGCTTCTTGTCCTCCCAATAGTCATTCCAAGTACCGTACTTTTCCACCATCGCGCCGACATCCTCGCGCTTCCCGGGTCCTGTGGGAACGAAGCAACAATCAGAAAGAGTTCGCAGAGACAGCACCACTTAGGCGATAGAAACAGACAGACAAAACACTCACCGCACGTCCACGCCATCAACAAACTCCAGAAAGCATGGTCAGGTATGCCGCCGCGACAGATGGATTCTCTGTAGTAGTCTCCCAGCCCCTCCCAGGGTGCCATGCAAGCCAGATGAGGAGGTTGTTCAGCAGCGATGAACCATTGCGTTGTCCCCAGCCATGAGTTCCCGGCCATGGACACCCTCTTATTACACCAGGGTTGCTGCGCGATCCACTCGATACAGTCGTACCCATCACGGCCCTCTTGAGTCCCGTACGCAACGAGATCGCCGCCGGATTTGAAGGACCCGCGAGCATCGATGTTCACAACCGCATAGCCGCGGGTAACCCACTCAGCAGGATCAGGCGCCTCCCACTTCTCCAGACCACTTGTTTCGGAACGAGGCACGCCGACTCTCCATGGAAACATGTCGAGCTGCTGAATGCCTGTTCCGGTCTTGCCGTAATGACTCCATGGCATGATAGCCGGGACATGCTTGTCGTCGGACGTCACTGGACGAAAAACGTCACCCAAGAGTTCGACACCATCGCGGAGCGGAATCCGGACATCCTTGTCCCAGATTGTATCAACCGAAAATGCCTTGCGACCCTCCTCTTTGACCCATCCTTTGGCGATGATTCGCCTCTCAGTAGGGCCATAGTCAGTCCAGATGTTCTTTGGTTCATGATCAATCTCGGTAAACAATACCGGTACGGAGAAGGGCTGCGGTGTGGTGGCTGTCGTTGTGTCAAGCTTTTCAGATGTTCGAGATGAGGTTCCTTCTGATGCCAGGATGAAATGAATCTCAATAAGAAAAGACGTCATCTTGACATCTGATAGGAAAGCTTTATGTAAACCTGAAATAGGCGTCTATACTCCCGGCGTCAATGACGATGTCGAGTTCCATCAATCTAGTTAAATTATCGGGTCGGATGCGAGGTTCCCAACTCTAAGTCCGGAGCTCCCGCAACCCTGCATCCGATGCATGTGAGGGGTTCTTTAAGTGCCGTAGATAGGTAAGACGCCAAACACTTGCGTGAATGAATAGCCGCCCAGATGACAGGTTAAATAACATAAACGAAATCGCAGGGACCCAGAGCCCTAGACTGGCCCATATAGAGGAGGGTGAGCACGAAATAGGTCATGGTAATATATTGATTGTACATACTTGCGCGTGTGCGAGTGAGAGTGTATGTATGTATATATATTCCCTAGCAGCTCAACATTCACTGGCGCTATGTTAGAAGAGCTTTGCTACAGCACCAGGCTGTAGTGTCGTCACCCTTGACCTAGTCTCCTTCTCAAGCAGTTCCGTAGCTGGTTCTAGTTTCAGAGTCTTCGGCTGGATCGGCATGTCATCGTACATGGACCAGATCACCTTCTTCGGCTCTCCGAGTAGCTTCGACAATTTCACCGCAAACTGCGCCGCTGATCCATCGAACGGTCTTCCGTTCAGGTTGCCGCGTCCAACGATTGCCTGGATAAGCACGTCTGGCTTCGGCTCCAATCCCTTAAGTATTCCCTCGTATGCACCCAGATGCCCGTTCCACAGCGCGGTCTTGCCCTCGCCGAGCAGGAAGTTGAACATGAGCTGGCCTCCATCAAAGGGAGACGAACATTTAGCCAATGGGCTGCTGAGCCAGTCGGTGAAAGATCGCATGCCGTCGTCCATCGCGTCACGAGGAATGTGTTCGCCCATTTTGAGGAGGCCGTGTGTCATCATGAATGTGATGTCAAGTGTGCAGGCGTACTGGCTTGCGCCTCCGATGTACTCCTTGCCAGTATCCATGACTTCTGGCAAGTCCTTGGGCGAGCTTCCGGGCAACAGACAGTGCAATGAAGGCCAAACATGGACGGAAGCCGCTGCCAATTTGGCATCTGGACGCACAGGAGCGCCTGGTGGCCCAGGCACTACGTCAACCTCGCCACGAGACGCGGCTTCACGCACCTTGCGAGTGAAGAGAGGGATTCGCTCGCCACCAGCTACTGGAATCAACTGTTCGTCGGGGACTCCTGCTGATCGAAGGAGGTTGATGGCTTCACCGTTGGCGACGACATGCGCTCCCGTTTTGAGTGCAATCCTATCGGCGCCGGGGAGACTGCGTGAAAAAGGAGACCAGTGAGCCTTTTCTTGTCTGTGTATGAAGGCGGACCTTGTGTATTGTTTCGAGTGGTGTGGCACTTACTGGTCAAAATGTGCGTGGGAGATGAATATGTAATCCGCTTCAGTCACATCGTCCACAGCCAGCACGTTGAGCATGGCATCTGGTTTGTCTAGCCATGTGTCTAAGAAGAGAACGAGACCATTGACCTTTACGCGAAATGTGTTAAAGCCTGGATGATGGATGATTCATAAGCCCCATGGAACTATCGAGCGCATGATTTAGGCAGTAAACTTACCGAGCCACTCAATTGTTGCGTCCATTTTTGCAAAAAAGGTCTTGTGGCCACGTCGCCAAATGATGATCAAAGCAGGTTTTCAGTGATGCGCGGGAATTCAGACTGAGATAAAATTTATCAGGTTGGATTGTAAATATCTACTGTGTATATACAGATCTTTATATACTATGATATAGCCAGGCTGGAGGTGAATCTGGAAACCGAGGATGGGGATCGTCACCATTTCGCTTCGCTGGCAGGTACTTCATTCGGTGCCGGCCACCTCCACATTGCGGGGTAGTCCGTTGTGGGGTTGAAGTTTGGGCTCCTCCGCCGAGCCGTGTGGCCGGGAGTGATTCAACCCTAACCCTAGCCATCAAGAAACCTAGGGCCTTCTGAACATAAGAAGTCATATATGGGATCAAGGGTTCAGATCCTCGAAGGGAAGAGCCTCTTGTTTACTTCTGATCCTTTCTTTATATAATCGCGGATGACTGTCGCTCGTACGAAATCTATCTACATTATTTTGACCAAACAAGTCTTCCCGCCATGGCTACATCTAAGTTTCTTCCTCACGAGGGAGGCAAGCGGAAAATCCGAGTCGCAATCATTGGGGCAGGCCTCTCTGGGCTTACTGTCGCCAATGGTTTGATGAGAGACCCGGCTGGGAGATTTGATGTTCAGGTCTTCGAACGAGACACGGCTACATTCGGCTCGGAGCGTGGCGGGTATCAGCTCCGCATCAGCCGCAATGGCCTGGATGCTCTGAAGACAGTATCCGATGCTGAACTTTGGGCCGCCATCCGCGAGGTCTGGACCGAGGATCACGAAAGGGCGCCTACGGTTGTTGATCCTGTTCGTTTCGACGCTGCCCTGCGCCTAGACACTCATAAGTGGTATCCCAAGAGTCGGTCATTGTCCAGAATCGGGCTGCGCCGTGCGCTCCTGCAGCCGATGATCGTCCAAGGGCGGGTTCAATTTAACCATTACTTTAAGCGTTTTGATATCCTGTCGAATGAAGGGGGTGTGCAGCTGCATTTCGACGGCCAGGATCCACAGGATGCCGACATTCTCATCGCCGCAGACGGCAGCGGCAGCCAGGTCAACCGGCAGGTTGGCCTTAATAACAAAGTCAAGCTCCAGAGCCAGATGCTGTTCCAATCTCGCGGCCGTGTTTCAAAATCTGCTTGGGCTGAATTGCCCGAGTCGCTCACTAAATACGGCCCAGTGTTGTTCTTGGGCGGCAAGAATGCTTTTGGGTATGCCTCAATTTACAACGACCACGACGCCAGCACCGACGGTCAACCGTCCTGGACACTATACTGGTCCATCCTCGTTGCTAGAACTCCTGGAGAAGAGTTGATAGTGAAGGCCGGCTCAGATCGTCAGAAGATCATTCCTAACCTGGTCGATTACGTTCGAAATGAGCTGGGCTATGGTGAACCCATGGAGCGCATCCTCAAAACGGCGACTGAATACGTCCGGACAGGAATTGTGACCAGCTCTGTCAAGCCGGAGACGGATTGGCGAAACGGCGACAAGAAGAACGCGCGAGTTATCATCCTCGGTGATGCCATGCATCCCATGCCGCCGAGTCGAGGCATGGGTGCAAACCAAGCAATCACTGATGCCGGCAACCTCGTCGATTACTTTCGCCAGACTACTTTCAAGCAGGATGTGCCGTCTGATGACGAGCTTGCCGCTTTAGTACACGTATTCGATGAAGAGATGTACAAGCGTACATTCAACATGGTGAAGACCAGCGAGGACGTAACTGCGCTGGACCTGAAGACGGTGAAAGGAAGGATGATTATCGCCTTTGTCAGCATGGTTATGACCGCTGTGGGATGGGTTTGTGCCGGCTTAGAGGCTGTTGGCTTGAGATCCCCTCAAAAGCTAGACTATTTTTCGCTAGAAAAGTAGTACGTGCAGGGGGAAGAAGGGTTTTCTTTGTTATCCAGTAGTCAAGCTAGTTGTACTGATAATCGCTTAGAACGTTTGTCCATGTGACGCCAGGGATGGTTCTTTTAGATATAGAACTATTTTGTCAGACCCATAGCAGTGGTAAACTCGCCATTGCGATTGAACTAGCGGAATATAGTGAGTGACATGAATATCTATTTGGGTTATTCTTTTCTTGAGCAAGAGCTGTTTGACTAATAATACCAACACACAAGGGCTGGCTATTATTCCCATTCCCTGCTGCATTCTAAGCCACCCTTCTCACGGGGTCTTGTAGGTTTATGCCTTTGCTCTGCTTGCCTTGAATAGGATAGGATAGGACAGGATAGCTTGCGTGCGATGTGTCTCGAGTAATGTTCATGGACTGACTCTCGAAAAAAGGACACTTTGAAGCGGCATGTCAAGCAGGGCAAAGGCATACCTCCGGGAGAAGGATATCTTGCAGATATCGCATGTGTGAGAACGACGACCCGAGTGGCGGTCTATATGTCGACTCAGGTGCTCGCGACGACGGAAGGTCTGGCCACACTTAGGGCATGGCAACGATAAGGACGATGAGGGGGGGGGGGGCAGCCAACTGTTCGTCGTTATTGCTAGTGGCCTAGATGGATGAGACATGCAAACTCGCCAAACTCTCTTTTTGCCTGAGTGGAGTCTTTCGTCCTCTCTGCGGTTTCTGGGAAGATCGTCTTCTTTTCGTTAACGAAACGTATGGGGGAGGGGAGCTCCATTACCTGTGGAGGCGGAGGCGCCCGATGTCTCGGACGCTCCCCCGCAACACAGCCACTAGGGAGGGGGGGCTCAGCTGAACGCCGAAGCCTTCTTGGACCAATCCTGTGTGCAGCAAAATCATGAGTAACATCGGAGCGGAAGCTTCGGCAACAATTGGACAATGTGGAACCAACTGCACGTTCTATTTTCAATCGGCTTTTCCGGAATGGCTACTGTAACCCTGTACCTGGCGGAGCGTTCCTCCACTCTGGGGTGGTGTGGGGTTGGTATGGAGAATGTGGGGAGTGCGGAGGTTGGGAAACGCGTCGGACTCCCCGCCCCCCCCCCCACCCCCCAATAGGAATTGAGCGCAGAATCATGAACAGCTACAGTACAGCGCAACAGGACTTTGGCAGGCTAATAGAAGCATTGGCTCACCAATAAGAAAAATTATAAGAACAGAGCAATGCAACAACATACAACATGGGCCTCAAGGTTCATCACAGGCATTGTCAAGTATGATGAGCATGGCTAAATTGTTTCAAATGCTAACGGAGGATCCTCCGTTGGCGTACCTTGCAGCCGCCGCTGTCGTCGCTGGTTTATCATTTCGACTTCTAAGGGCCGTGTACAGGTTGTACTTGCACCCCTTGTCAAAGTTTCCAGGACCGCGCTCTGCCGCCCTCGGCCATGGATGGCAGTCAAAGGTATTCAGCAGAGGCTTTCCCGAGCGGGAATACGATAAACTCCATAAAGAGTTTGGTGAGTAGCCAGCCAGTCGATCCCACTAAGTACTGGCTTTGGAAAGTCACGATTACTGAATGACAAGATCAATAGGGACCAAGGCGTTACGCATTGCACCGAATCAGCTCCATATCTCAGATCCCAGCCTGTACAAGGCGATCTACAGTCAAACCAATCCTTTCCCAAAGGAAAATGCTTTCTATGAAACCTTCGAGTCTCCTCACACGACTTTCAGCGAGGTTGATCCTCTGTTGCACAAACAGAGGCGCAAGATGCTTAATCCTCTCTTCTCCAAGTCAGGAGTCAATAAGATGGAGCCGCTCATTTTGGAGAAAATGAAAGAGACCATATCAAAGATCGAACAGATTTCGGACGCTGGCCCAATCGATATCTCCACTGCCTTCAGGTAAGATCCATCCTCAAAGTCCCTTGACGGCAATAGACAAAAGTCACATATCGGTGCTAATATGCTAATATTCATCTCGACGACGCAGATGCATGACAGGTGACATCATCTCTGAATTTTCATTCGGATCATCCATGAATCTGATCCACGAGCATCCAAATGCCTTTGAATCGAAGTATCTCAAAGCCTTGACCCTGTCCTCGGCACTGCCTTATGTGAGGTACTACAGCGTCACGCAAAGGATCGTGGCGAAATTAATCCCTCTTTCCATCGCTGCCAATTTCCACCCGGTGCTGAGACATACCAAGAACATGGTTGATATGATACTGGGATCGTACGATGACTACGCTAGCAAGAAAACCGAGAAAACCGCGTCCAGCCTCCCCGTCATTTTTGACTTCCTCCAATCATTACCTGCTGAGCAGCAGAAGGCTGAGGCTATCAACACGTTCATTGCTGGCTCTGACACGACCGCCTTTACGCTTACCACAGCGGTATACTACATTTTAAGCCTTCCTGACGTTGAGAGAACATTAGTAGAAGCCTTGGACGAAGTGTTTGGAAATGCTCAAACCACCCCATCGCTGGTTCAACTCGAGCAAATCAAATACTTGGTAAGCTCTGTCGTTATCCCATTAGTGATGGAAAGGATTTTACGGCTGACATATTTCTAGCGCGCCTGTATCACCGAAGCTCTACGAGTCGGAATGGCAGCACCTGGCTTGCTCCCTCGTATCGTACCTAAACGACCCCAGCCGTTCATTGTAGACGGCAAAGTGGTACCTCCAGGTGTAGGTCTATTTTCCTCGGATGCTTCTACAAAGCCCCTCATTATTAACACGGGGTAGACAATTGTTGGAATGTCGGCGTATACGATGAATACCGATCCCCAGATCTGGGGTCCGGATGGCGGATCCTTCAACCCAAACCGTTGGCTTGGTCTGAACGCAAAGGAGCTTGAGACATATATGTGCACTTTCAGCAAAGGCGCTCGCCAGTGCATTGGAATCAAGTATGTGCACTCC